TGGCTGAGCGAATGGACCATTTCAAGGGCTGTGGATGGGATGCTAAAGGCAGGTAGAGTGGCGGAGCACCCGCGAGTACCTTGCAGGAAGCTGTTATCAGTGCCGAGCTAAAAGGTACAAAGGAAGAGGGCTTGTGCAGGTGGATCAGGGAGTTCTGTAGAGCCTCCCGCTAGCCAAACTAAACTGGCAGGGGCCTGGCTCACAGGGTACCCTGACTACCATGATAATCCCCGTTGGATAAGACCCTCTTAGGTGCACAGCAGGACAGAACAACTCGGAACTTCTGCTAATGGAGGCTGACAGTCATGGCCCCTGCCTCGGTGCCACCATCTGTACTCTGGAAAGGAAGGTGGAGGAGAAAGAAGGGTGGTGTAAGTATCAGAAGGAAAACATCTTTCCAGAGCGATGGCTGAGTCCCCCTAGATCTCACTAACCAGAGCTGCCTGCTACAGGGAGTGGGTGCCAAGGTTAGGGGTGCCTAGTGTCTGAACAGAACCAGCAAAGCCAATACATAGCCAACCAACGTGGCTCCGGACTTAAGTGTGAGCAAGAAATTAGCCCCAATTTTACCAGGCCATGAACATGCTTGCCAGCACAGCAGAACCCGTCCTGTGTTGACATCCAGAATGGAAGAGAGTAGAATATATCTCAGGGGTGTTTATCGGTGTCCACAGTGGTAGTGTCAGCGTCCATTGCTGAAAAGAGAACCAGAATGACACACACCTCACGGGGCTGTGCAGGGTCTGCTGGAGACGCTCCAGGCAAAGCCCTAACTGAGCCTGACTCCCAAACTTCAGACTTCCCTGTTGTTGCTGGACATGGGAAAGGTGCTGGCAAGAATGGATAATATCAACATGAGAGCGCGGTAGATGAAGGACATAGAATAAGTACCAGCTAACAATAGTGCCGGGCAAAGAGTGAGCAGGCTAGTGGAGGGAGCCTGAGTGAAGTCCAGGGGTGTTCCTGGATCTGCTGCCCCTTTTCATGCAACATCTACTCCATCTTACTGGGAAGTGGCACTGATACTAGCTGAAGGCTGCAAAGCTCGGGTCTGCTGTCATTGCGATGAAACCAGTCTTTGCTGCTTGCATTAAATGACTGCAAACATGCATCCCTGGCCTGGAGCAAAGCTGTCTTCTTGCTGTTTCAGCTCCAGTTCAAGTGGTCCAAATGCATCTCCCATGCTAGGTGACCTGCTCTTACTGGAACCCCAGTCCTTTCCTCACTCAGGGCCTACTTTTATACTCTTGTATAACAACTAAAACCTGTGATTGTGACTTTTGATTGACAACTTGATCAGATTAAGTAATCATGCCAGGGATATTCATGAGGAACACTTGAGTGTGTCTGTGGGGGTTTTCTCAAGAAGACCCACTAGGGGTGAAGAGTTGCCCTGAATGTAGGTGGCCCTAGATCCCCAAATTAATACATAGCTGGGAAATAAATGATGCTGGCATCCTCGTTTTTCTGCTCCCTGATCACTGAGTGGTTCCCAGTCCCATATCCTGTAGCCATGAACTCCACCATACCTTACCAACTGTGATAAAATGTGTGCGATTTTCCTTTTTAAAAGAGCTTTTAGATTTATTTATTTTATTTCATGTGTATAAGTGTTTTGCATGCACGCATGTATTTGTGCCGTGTGTACCTGGTGCTCAGGAAAGTTAGAAGAGGGCATTGGATCTCCTGGAATAGGAGTTATGGGTCGTTGTGAGCCATCATGTGGGTGCTGAGAACCGAACCCAGATCCTCTCTGCAAGAGCAGCAGGTGCTCTTAACCTCTGAGCCTCCTCTCCGGCCTCTTTCAACTGTGAACCAGAATGCATTCTTCCCTAGAGTTGCTTCAGCTGGGTGTTTTGTCACAGACATCGGAAAGTAACTGATCTACCTTCTCTACATGATTCTCATCCAGTTCAGTGTTTAAATCCCAGCTTTGTCTTTGAGCACATTTCTCTGTTTGCAGTGAACCATGCAGCTCTCAGCCCCTTCTGGACTGCTTCATGAGAGCAGCTCCCCAAGTCTCCTTACTACTGACTTTGCAGCCAGACAGTTCCTTATGATGGGATCAGACCTGGTCCCTGCAGGATGCTTAGAAGCCCCACCCCACCCCCAGCCTTGGAGAGCCAGACGCCCACATCTCTCCTTGACTTAGGTATTATACCAGAACTATCTCTCACTGGATTGAGAAGGGATTCCTTTTACTTCTAAAAAACCAACGGTGCTGTAAGGAAGACGCTTATCACAAGCCTACCAGGTTAAAAGAATTAGAAACAGGACTCATTCATTTCATTTGCCCACTTGACATTTGCTTGGGCCAGAAACGTGAAGGAAGAGACAGCCGAGGCAGCAGAGTGAGGTTGGGGGGAGCGGTCAGAGGCCCAGGCTGTGCAAGCGATGAGAATACTCGGAAACCAGACAGTTTGGGGGAAATGACCAGAACAGGAGCAAAGGAGAACGTGGAAGCGGAGGACCCAGGGCTAAAGCTGAGTAAGGCAGAGGACCCAGGGCTGAAGCTGAGTAAGGCTGGGCAGCTATGTAGCACCAGACAAGAAAGGCTGCAGGCCCTGAGGAACAATTCTAGAGCACCGCCGAGCCTTGGAGAGCAATCCAGGTTAAGGAGCTGTAATAGTAGTCCCTATCAAGGGAGGAGGAATCCTGATACCCAGGCCTGCCTGGAGCTGTAACTCCACTACTGTCAAGAGTTAAGGAATTCTTAGGGCCTAAGCAAGATGGCTTAACATTGGTACAGCTAAACATCCCAACATCCAAGGCCTGAACAAGGTCTCTAACACTAGAGGGCACCACCACCTGTTGACGCCACTGCTATTTATGAGAAGCCACAAAAGCTGCCAAAGCCCAGACTCCTCACCCACCTCCTCACTGCCCCTCTCTGCCACAAGCCTTCTCCCCCCACCGTGTCTATCTGGGCAAAGAAAAGGACTCCAGGCAATGAGGAGAGTAGCAACAGATTATTGTACTCCACTTGGTAAAGTGTGTTAAAAAAGACTCACCTTACCCTGTTAGGAAGGTGTCGGTCTGCATGAGGTCTCTGTTGCTGTAACAAAACAAGGACCACAAGCAGCTTGGCCAGGAAATGGCTCGTTTGGCCTTCAGAGCATCCTTCAGGAAGTCAGAATAGGAGCTCAGGGCAGGAACCTGGAGGCAGGAACTGGAGCAGAGGCCATGGAGGAACACTGTCTACTGGCTTACTCCTCATGGCTTGTCCAGCCTGCTTTCTTATAGCACCCAGGACCGGCAGCCCAGGGATGGCAGCACCCCCAGTGAGAACAGAACCTAAGAGCAGAGGAAAGGTAAGTTCTCTTTCTTCCTCTCCTCTCTCTTCTCCTTTCTTCTCTCCTCTTCTCTCTTCCCCCTCGCTTCTTCTTCTCAGAGATAGGACATTCATCTCAGACATGGGAGGTCCTGGTTACCCAGCCTTGGGACTTCAGAATTTACCCTGGTCACACCTCTTCCCTGGCCCTTGCCTTCAGCACCTGACTATTGACTCTCCTGGATTTAAAGCTAACATTGCTTTGTATCATTGGAATTCCTGTGCCTGCAGGATCTGCAGCCTTCTTGGCCTCTGTAATCACAGAACCTACGGTTCTGTCTCAGCCAGTGTTCTATTGCTGTGAAGAGACACCATGGCCACAGCAGCTCCTATAAAAGAAAGCATGTAGTTGAGGCTTGCTTACAGTTACAGAAGTTTAGTCTGTTTTCAGCATGGTGGGAAGCCTGGTGCCAGGCAGGTGGGCATGGTGCTGGAGACGTAGCTGGTAGTTCTACATCCAGATCTGTGGGCAGCAGGAAACGTCACTAGATGTGACTTGAGCTTTAGAAACCTCAGTGTCTATCCCCAGTGACACACTTTCTCCAACAAGGCCACACCTACTCCAATAAGACCACACCTCCTAATCCCTCTCAAGTAATGTCAACATGTAGAAAAATATTGCGGCAAAACCCCTATGTCTTAAGCTTACTGAAAGCCTAGGCTCAAAGGACCACCTCAGTCTGGGTCTTCAACGTTGTTGTGCCCGGGAACCTGGATTTCTAACTGATTTGCTATCAAACTCGGTAATAGATGAGAAAATGAAGTGACTAACTGGATTCTCAGCCACCTTTAATTCCGAGAAATTCATAGATTTACTCCGAAAATATCTGGATATCTGTGAGATCACTGAGCCTGTCTCAGCTTTGGGAGAGCATGGCTCTATGACTGGGGGCTTTCGGGTTCTGTTCTCAAATATTTGAAGGGTGAGATTCATTCTACAGAGGGAAAGAACAACAGCTCCTCCACTGGAGGGGTCTCACGAAATGGAGCATCGTTTAGCTTTCATGGGGATTATGGCAGAAATGCGTGGGGCAAGGAGAGGAGTGAGCTGGTCAGTCCCATCGCCCAGCCCAGGGGTGTCCCGGTGCCTCCTCTTGGTTTCTGTCACACTTACCCGTAGCCCCCAGGGAAAGGTGTTCACGTAGGAGATAACAAGAAACCAGATTCTCCTTCTGTCCCTGGCCTCCAGCAAGGACCTTCTCAGTGCTGCTTTGGTGTCCTATCTCCTGTCCTCATCAAAGCAACTGCCTTCTCTAACAGAAATTACCCATGGTCTCCTGGGAAACCAAATCCTGGGAAAGCTGTTAAAAGAACAGGAAATAATTATTGCTGTGTGAATCCCAAGTAAAAGCAAAACACAAAATCCATTTAAAAAAACCACACACACACACACACACACACACACACACACACACACACACACAAAGGAGCCAGGTGGTGGTGACACATGTCTGTAATCCCAGCACTCAGGAGGCAGAGGCAGGTGGATCTCTGTGAGTTGAAGCCAGCCTGGTCTACAGAGAGAGTTCCAGGACAGCCAGGGCTACACAGAGAAACCTTGGCTCAAGAAACAAAAAAGACAAAACAACACACATGCACACATTGGAAAGATAAGAATATTTATTTGCTGCTTGGGATCATATATAACATGTCTGTGCACACATGTGCACATGTGCTTCTATAGCAAGAAAGTCTTCAGGTTGGGTGGAAAACCATTCCTGTCCCTCCTCCTGGGTCTGTCTTCCTTGAGGATCTGGCTATGTGGACAGTGCATCTAGCGTGGAGGAATCTCATCCTCTGCTCTAGGATCCCTCCTGGGCAGTGTGATCTTGCATATTCCCATCCTCAGCAGTCTGAGTTTAAGTGGTCCAGATAACACAGTTAAGCATGTTTGCTTAACTTACAAATGCTGAACTCAACTCCTGCTCCTAGGTCGAAGGCTCATCCTCTGTGCATCGGGCGGGTGCTTCACCTGACTTTGGGGATAGACTCAGCTCTGAGGGCAGGACAGAAGTGGCTTGTGGTTTCATTGCATTGAGGAGAAGGGTTTAAGAAAGGGATTCTAGAACAGCAGTGGGGTATTGCTGTGTTGGAGGGAGTCACAGAAACCCCAAAAGGGAGACCTGAGATCCACCCTGGGATGTGGATAGGAAGCGGGGAAACAGCCCAGCTTTTGGGATTTGGTGCAGTCCTGGCTGTGTGTACAGAGGCCACTGCACAGCCAGCTCCATCGCCACCGACTCTTATGTTAGCCTTGATGCTGTACTCGCCTTCCCTTCTGTGCCTCTTCTGGTTTCTGAGGTCCCTGCTTGCACTGCTCAGCAGATGACAGCAGAGAGCGGCTGTGACCGTGACTGGACAGATGTTGAACCTGCTGTGGAACCTCAGGCCTCCTGGCAGGCCTTCTTTAGGCACCTCAGCCAGCAGGCAGCCTTGTCTCTTGGCCTTCTGCCCTCATAGAAACTGGCTGGGTCTGTTTAAAAACCTCCCATGAAGGCTGAAAGGGACAGTGCCTCCAGCCAGCACTGACACTGGGAGCTTACTGGGACACAGCAGCTGGTGTGCCCACCTTTGATCTCTCCTCCTAGGTTAAGAGGACAAGCTGGCAGGGAACTGTTCAGCAATTACCCTGTCTAGGATGAGAAGAGATCTTTGCTTCCCCTGGGGCTCATTCCTCCTGGGGAAATCTCCTTTTACTATTAAATAATGAACATTATCCCAGTTCAGGGGAACTGGGGGAGGCCTCACAGCTTGGCTTCCTGTTCCTACCTTTCCCATTCACCCCTGTTCCTCACAGCCTTCTCTCTAGCTCAGTCAAAGATTTGCTGCCCAATGGTGCTAAAGAATGGTAGGTGTGGCTTCCTTCTGTCTTCTTCCCACGTGTACCCTGAGGGGTGACTTTTAGCCAAGTAGCTCTCAAAGTAGGACCCTAACCATTGGAATCTGCAACCCTATCCAACTGCGGCTCTCACTCTTTGTCACTGACAGTGATGAAGAAGCACGCACACTCTCACACCCCAACATCCCTAAGTAGACATGAGACTATAGGAGTTTACAGGCACCAGAAGACAGGGCCACTGGTGTTTTCTTTTGTGCTCTGGCTTTGCTTTTTTACCTATAAATAAATAACTGGCAGGCAGGGCAGAGGTGGACACAAACATGTTGTGAGGTGACATGACCCCATTTGTTATTACAAATTTCTTGTAAAGCCCCTTTCATTATCACTTAACATGTATTTGTTCATTTACTTATGATTTCGGAGATGGCAGCCAGTAGTGTAGTGATCTTCCTGCCTCTGTCCCCCAAGGGCTGGGATTATAAGCATGCTTCAACACATGCGTCACATAGCACCCCCTTTTCAAGCCACCTTAACTTGGGAGCAAACGGTTAACCACTACAGGATCCTTCTCCCATATCTTTATTCTACTTCATTTATTATTTCACAGGCTTAAAGTATTTTATGATCCATCTTTGCAACGTCAGAAACACAATAGGAAAAATCCTCTCATTATTTTTCTTCTACAAGATACGTAGATATTATTTTGTATGTGTCCTTTAAGATTTCATCGTTATCGAGGCCAGCCTGGTCTGCAAGAGCTAGTTCCAGGACAGGAACCAAAAGCTACAGAGAAACCCTGTCTCGAAAAATCCCGCCCCCCCCCCAAAAAAAAGATTTCAACGTTATTCATCATCTGAAAAAAAAATGACTCCATTGACCATTTTTGTTGTTACTTTCATAGAGTTTGATTTTTACGCGTTCTTTCAATTTTTTCATGCAAAACATATTCTACTTGGTGAGTTTCCTGTATATGGCATATCTATATTAAGAAGAGCCTGGGAGTGAGGAGAACAAAATAAGGATAATATTTTCATGAGAGAGAGAAGGGGTGGGTTGGGAAGTCAGTGGGAGTCGACAGTGCTGGTTTTATTCCGGCGCTCCTCGTGGATGGTAAGATATTATCTATTGGTGAAGAACGCTGCTACAGAAGTTTAGCAGCTGAGGCCATAGACCTCGTCCTTTCACAAGTCCCATGGGCTGCAGTGGGCACGGCTCGGCTGTGACCTCTTCCCAACTGAGCTGGTTGGGCTGCGGTTTGGTCCAGAGTTCTCCTGCAATCCTCATCGGTCTTCAGTTTCTGGTAGGTGGCTGCTCTGAGGCCTTCAGTTTCTGGCTGTGTGTGGAATGGAAGAAGTCCCTTCAGTTTCTCCTGTGCAGCTAGCCTAGGGGAGGAGGGCAGTTTCTTGCTGGCCATGGACTCCAAGCAACCCTTCGGTTCCCTGACACGTGGCTGCTACACGAGGTGGCTCACCACCCTGCAGCTTGCTTCTTGACAGTCTGAGAGGGGGGGTCTCCAGCAAGATGGCGCCACCCTTATGCAGCCTAAGCACACAGGTGCCTCCCTCACACACCTTCTGTGTGTCCAAAAGCAGGCCTGAGGTTCTGTCCACACCCTAGGGAAAGCGTCCCACTTGCATGCATTCCAGGAACCTGTCCTAACTGCCTGTTGCACGCCTGCTCACTCAGTTTGTTCTTGTGCTGCGTGTGTGTGTGTTTTATAATTGTTTCTATCCCAGAATAGGTTTAGTGATTTTAATACTTCATACCCTGAAAGCAGTTTCCAAAATCAATTACTATGTCAAAAAACACTGGATTTGGATCTGACCCTGCCCAGGCACAGCCAAGCAAAAAGCACCCCACTGCTGTAGGCATATCGGGTGAGCCTGGGCTAAAATCTGCAGCTGACCAGGAACCCAGTGGTTGATTCTTCTTCAGAAATATCAGAAGTTGCCATTAACTTGGAAGTTGAGGGCACTCTACAGGGTGCACTCAGAATGTGTGTATTATTTAGAAATGATTCCCATGCCTAATTCTGATTTGAAAAATAGTGGGGGAAAAGCTACTTTAAAAATTTTCAAACTTTCACTAATTTGAAAAGAATTGACATTATACAATATTTGCCATGTACGTAGATCAAAGGCTGACTCTTCTCTTACCTGAGTGAAGTCTCCCATGCCTCCCCTCCCTTCTCTTTCTCTTCCTCCTCCCTCTAGTGTGTGTGTGTGTGTCTGTGTCTGTGTGTGCATGTGCGTGTGTGTGTGTGTGTGTGTGTGTGTGTATGAAAAGTTCGTTAATCCTTCTCCTGGTGGTAAAACAAAATTCTAGAGACTGGATAATATGTGACAAAGTTCATTTAAAGCATAATAAGCAAGCTTGATTACAAAAACGAGAAATAGCAGTTAATCTTATGACCTATTATCTTGTAAGAACATCAGATTTTACAAAGTCAACCAATTTAAAAATGGTCTTCAATGTCTGGGAAAAAGGAAAGTGGGCTGACATGCTACAGCCTGTAGGAGGTAGGGGTTTGCATGCCAGATGCCTTATAAATATAGCAATTAAACCTTTCAGTGTAATGCTAGCCATCACAAATGCAAGCAGCTTTGATCTCCCTTTGTGATTGGCTAAGGAGGGAATTCAGTGGTCAATTAGGAGCTCACAACCAAAATTGAGGAGAGACGCTACCTGGGACAGTATCTAAGGTTAGGGCTGCTTCTTACCAAGAGCCCTAAAGTTCCAGAGGTGTCTATGGCCACACATACTGTTTGTAGGTGTTAGGAATTTTTCCTAACACGAGCTATCTGCCGACATAAAATCCCAATCAAGCTGAATCAAAACAAACCAAATTAAAAAATATATATATCCAGGTTTAATGGGATTCCTATGCTCTCGGGTGGCCCAGAGGGGGAACCGGGAGGCTGCAAACGCAACCACCAGGAGGAAGGAAAAGAGACCACAAGTTCCTCTTTTGGGAGTTCACTTAAATACCCTGTGGGAGTGGTATGCCAGCAAATCCTGGCATGCTGGGATTTGGAGTCCAGACCAATACAACTCTCAGGCCTGGGGGCTAGGATAGATGGAAGGGGCTGGGGTCTACGCTCCCAACTTAACAGTAGGGTCAGGATGGTAAACTGGATGGAATAAGACAGAGACTACTTCTCCTGGAAGGGTCAATACTCAGAGGGTGACCTGGCCTGGTTCCTGCCTCCACCTAGAATGCAGAGGCATTTCTCCCTGGGCAAGCCGTTGGGAGTTCCAGGGATTTTATTGTCTTTCCTACTCTACTTAACTCTCCTTTTTCAGGTCAAGGGCCAAGGTGAGATTAATGCAATGGCAAGTATGTCCTTCCTAAAGGCATTTACACCCCAGGGAAATGACTGTGGTGTTTATGGCTACTGTAGACCACTAGGCACATGGGGTCAGATTACTGTCTGTCACGTCCCATCCGCACTGCCCCACCTCCCCCATACAGCCTGTGGGGCACGGCAGGAAACCGGTGATACCTGGAGTCCTGGGATGCCAACATCAACCAAGATCCTGGACCCCACTGTTCTTGCAATGTCTGTCCTTCCTCAATGTGCTTCCTTAACTCAATATCCAGAGGTCTTCTGGGGTGCCAAACAAGGAAGCCTTGATGGCATTCCTTGGCTCTTCTAACATGAGGGGGCCTGTCACATGTATCCCTCTATCAGGTAGTCACCGTTTGATTTGGAGCCTGGTAGCTCTTCAGAGAAGGGAGCCACTGTGAGTTACCAGCAACACTCATCAAAGCTGGGGCTTGGGCAGGGGAAGGGTGCATGGAACAGTAATTTAATAACAATGAGATGGAGAGATCCCAGCAGCATTCGCTGCACTGCTGGGAACCAGGAGCGGGCTGGGAAATGAGAGCAAGAAAGTAAAGGAAGTTGGACAAGTGCTTTGTGGAGAGAGAGAAAGAGAGAGAGAGAGAGAGAGAGAGAGAGAGAGAGAGAGAGAGAGAGAGAGAGAGAGAGAGAGAGGACAGGCCATGTGGCTACAATCTATGTATTATGTAATTATCAAAGTACTTGTACAGGGATCCAGGTCAGACAGTGTTCGACAGGGAAACAGAGTCAATGTGGGAAATAGACAGGTAAAGAGCTATATTCGGGGCTAGAGATGGCTCCATGGGCGAGAGTGCCTGCGGCTCTTCCATACTCCCAGAGTTCAGGTCCCAGCACCCAAGTCTAGTAGTTCACTCCACCTATAGCTGCTGCTTGAGTAACCAACGCGCTCTTGTGGCCTCCACATGCACAGGCACTCACATGCACAAGTACACTCCACACGTGTGCCCACACATACAAAAATGCATACCCAGGCATGCCTACCACACTCACGCACATGGAAATGGGGGAAAAAAGATTTACAACCCGTCATTAGCATATTTACTTCAACTATTCAGATCTCTGCCAGAGATCTGGTCCTCGGGCTTTGGCAGGCCCCAGGCTGTCTGTGTGCCCCAGGCTGCTTGCAAAAGTAGTTCCCATCCATTTCTGTCCTTTTCCTTATTGGCCCCTGTCGCAACCAAGCCAGGGAAAAACGGGCATTTCCGTATTGGAAACAGTGAGTCAGTTTTTCTTTTCTGATGAAAACACAGCAGGGTTTGCACCAGAAATCAAAGCCGGAACAGTGAGCCCGCCAAGTGTGACCTGACACGGGAGAGTGGACAGACAGTAGTCACAATGGAGGACTGATGGCCCTGGAGAGACAGAGGCCGCCGTGCTGAGACTCTCCAGCACAAAGAATAGTGTGCATCTGGGAAGGCGATCCTGCTGCCGTGAAATTAAGGCGCTGCGGGGTGAGTGCCGTGTAGAGTGGGGCTCAGGCCCTGTTCCACTCACATCTTTAAATTAGGACAACCTGACACCCATTTCACGATCGGAACAGGGATGCTGGGCTGCACTTTGCCTGTGACCAGGCCAGCAGCCACTGAATCTGTCATGTTATGCTTGAAATCTGCTAGCTAAAATATTTCTGTGACTCTCAGGTTTTAAGCTATATGAACTAAGTCTTCTGCTCTGGCAGAAACTGACTTAATTATGAAAACAAAACCTTGAATGTTTCCATGCTATCCTTCCTCAGCACACGAGTATCAAATTAGTGAATGTTTTAGTTGTATTGTGCTAGGGCTGTTTTTAAGATTTTCTTTTTTGTTATGCGCATGCGTGTGTCTATACATGCCGGCACAGGTACTTACATAGACCAGAGTTACAGGCAATAACTATGAGCCGCCCGATGTGGGTGCTGGGACCTGAACTCAGGTCTTCTTCGAGAGTATTATGTGCTCTTGACCACTGGGCCGTCTCTCCAAGCTTAGGGTAGAATGTCTAGCAATTTCTAAATGGCCCTAAACACACGTTTGCCATTTTGTATTATGTATTTGTGTGAAGTAGTATTCTCAGAATTGACAATGATAAAATCAAAATACCACACAGGTCAGAAATACGTGGAAGACGCTGTGTCCGGCAGAATCAAACCTTCAGCCGAGACTTTTATTATTCTGTGTAAAATAAACAAGCACATCCCTTTCATTGGCATACAACTTTCTTTCTCTGTGGAATCGATGGCACAGTTGGATGTGCACCTAACATTAAACTATTTCTATTTTTCATACCTTTCTATACCCTGGGCCGCAAAAAAATTTCTTGGGTGAAAAGGGAGGGAGTGTGAGTGGGTGTCTAAGAGACCCCAGCCCACTTCAGTCTTAACACCCAGCTGTGTGACCACAAGCAAATCATTTGACGTATCTGAATCCTGTCTGCGCTTGTGCTCCCTGAGAACCCGAGTCACTGAAACCAAACAGACAGTACTTGTGTAGGTGGGTGACAGAGGCCAGGCTTCTCCCTGGGGAGAGGAGCAGTGAGTGTCCTGGAGAGTAGGCTGGTGTCGTTATGCAGCCGAGAGAAACTGGGTTCCAAGCCTGGGGTAGCCTAGAGTAAGCCAGTCATTGTACATTCCCGATTCTATCGGTAACGTAGAGTAAGTTCCCGATTCTATCTGTCCTAGAACACTGAAGCCATTGCTATTTGTCCACTCGGTTCTTGCTAGCTAAGAGCCTGGCACAGGACTGGAATAACCCGGTCAGGACCTCCCAGAGACTGCATGGGAAAATTCAGATCCTGGGTTCGAACTGGCCAGGGGAAGCACGCAGATGAAGGAGGCCTTTGTAGGGGACCCATTGCTGAGATAACAGGAGGAGAAAGGCTGAGGTGTGAGAAGCTCAGAGCTTTTGATATCTGGAACCAGGGGTGAGGGCAGGACATATGCCAGAGACAGGTACACACTGCCAGCCCTGGGTCACCCCAGAACAGGCTC